TATATATTTATATTACAACATTCAAAATTTTATATTTTTTAAAATTTATTATATATATTTTGTACTTGTAAATAACAAATATATAAAGTTTTAAAATATTATTTGTTGACTTTGAAATTTATTTTAAAACGCACGCTATAATAAAAATCATATACAATTTATTTAATTACGTAAACTTCGAGACTGTTGGCTCATAATAAGATTCTTGACGATCCGGCTGGCAGTGTGAAAGTCGTTTAAGAAATAACGCGATGTGTGCGATGTATATATGTGTGTGTATGTGTGATGCAACTGTTAGCACATAGCGCGCAAACGCTCGCGCAATTTGCGCGGCGGCTTCGCCTTGTGTTGTGTTGCGACCGTCTCGTCCGCCACGTGACTGCAACACGTGCAGGTTGTTATGTTAGACCGTTCACCTTCGTTGCATAATACGAACGAGAAAAGGTCACCGTTCAACGAACAACGGAGCTCTGATATTTGCTAATATGATCGATATAAATCGCGAAATGATTGCGATATCGATATATCCGCGAGATATTTTTCGAATTATTGAGAAATCGAATCATTTCATAATTTTCTTTCTAGATAAAAATTTCAATATCGTTAGAAAAGTTTGACAATTGCATTGTCTGCGGAAAGAATGTAATCCTACTATGACAAGAATCGTCGATATCGTTTAAATAAGAGATAGAGCTGCGCACATGACAGATATAAGGCGTGTTGTTAACCCATTGTCTCCCTCTTTGTCTCTCATGATATGATCGATAAACGGTCGATGATGCACCGTGTAATCTATAATATCCGAGACAACACATTTGATATCGCTGGTATATCCGGCTAGACACGCAACACACATGCACGCATATATATACCTATACATGAGAACTGTAACCAGCAATACCTGTACTTGCAAGTTAACACCTGCAACGATATGCATTTCTGCGCAACGCAGATATTGCCGATCCATTCTCTGACGTGTGTACATATGTATGTGTGTGAGATTACACCCGACCAGGAAATAATCTGGATTGATCTTGAAAGATAATTGTTCCTTCGTATAGAAATTTTTCATACGATTATTACAATTGACGGTCTACAAAGCTTTAGATCGATTCAAGTGCCGGGAAATATTTTCTCTTCGTGTATTGTTAAATAAATATATATCATCATCTCTCTACCGAGTTATTTATTTATCGCAATCTCCATTATCAGTGAAGAGCTCCAACAAAGTTACTTTAGCCTCTGATACGTTATCGACAACTATATAACTTAGTTATCTATTTAATTATTAGTCTAGAGCAGCTCAACGATTACAATGATGTTATTCAACGTACAACTTTTTCTCCGATTTTCTTTTCGATTTTCTCGGTCTCTTGATCCGCGACTTCGTTGAATCGGAAGATTTTCCACGATCGATCAATTGTATCTAATCCTAAGCGATCTTACAAATGCACGTGTGCGACATTCGACCGAAATTCGTGAAGTTTATTGCGCGAATGATTTACCACCAAGTCGAGAGAGTTTTGTAAATTGGACCGTGTCCCACTTTTTGATAGAACCGTAGTGGCACGCAGTAAAGGAGATCGATGAGAAAGGAGAGAGCTTGCGAACTCGGTACAACGAGAGGAGAAAAAGAGAGAGAGAGAGAGATATATATATATATATATATTTCAATATATGTATATCAAAATTTTTGTTTCGCGAGAGAATCGAAATTTCGATCTCGATAAATCGTTTCTTGTCATAAAGAAGAAACAATTTAAAAATGTCATTACCATTTTAATTATAAACGTGTTCCAAATTCAAAATCAAAACTACTTGGATTAATATTAAATTACAATCGCGATTGTAGTTTTCACGGAAAAAAAAAAGACTATCTCAAGAATATCGATTTTTTTTCGCGCGAGCAACAGCTTGACGGAGAACTGAAAGGATAAAAATAAAGTCCGACCTTGATCCTTGATCGTGATGCATTTCGCAAACGCGTTGCGAAGGCGAAACATTGTATGCATTTTACGTCTTTTGCACGGTTCGCAGAAAGTGTCCCTTCGAGTCTCTCTCTCTCTCTCTTTCAAAAACGATACGCACACACTTTTGTAAATTCCGAGGAACCGTTGCCGCATGCGCGAGAAAGCATTTTATTCTCGTAAGCGTAACATCATCGGCCACTGCGTATTAATTGCATTTCTTGAAATCCGGGGGATTTTATCTACTACCTTCGTTATTCGAGAGTCCATGATTCAGCCGTGAATCGACAGTCAGCTGATAAGATATGCACCACGACCGGACACAATGGATGCACACCGGTGATGATCACGTTCGCGAATGTCGCTGGCGATATTGCGTCATTCGAGAACGAGCTTCCTAGATCGCCAGTTATTCAGCAGTTTCAGAAATAATGCAACAAGATTACGACGAAAGAACAGACGCACGATCAACCTTCTGTCAAATTGTTTTGTCGATCTTTAAAATATTTATTTTCGATAATATTTGGTCGCTAGCTAAATTATTTCATTTTTTCGATAATCGACGGGACACGTCGATCTTTAAAGAGGAAATCTCATACTGATGGAGATCTTGGCGCGAGATCTGTCAAAACGTGACTCGGGAGTTTCGCACGCGCCGTTCTCGCGTTTCACCTGTCAGTAAACACGTGTTCTAGGATGCATCTGACACGAGATCGCGTCGCGGAACAAACGCGATGAAATACCATTAAATCTCGCACAAGTGATTCTTATAAATCCCGTTTATCTCTCTCCCTCTCGGAAAAAAAAAGTGATGCTTGTAACAGTTTAATTTTTGAAATTAATTATTTTATTATTATTTTATTAATTAATATATTTATTTTTTGAATTAAATAATTTCTAAAACAACTTTAAAAGAGTTTCGAGGATCGACGTTTATGTTAATGTTTCTCTGGACATACACAATGTTTTTGAAATGTTATCCTAAGTTCTACGTATGCTTCATTATATGTTGTTCTCTCTTTAAACCTTTTTTACGTAAATTAAATTTACGCAATTAATGTCGCAATTTTGTAAAATTATTATCCTAGACAATCGAAACTATTTGTCGAGATACTCACCAATTTTGAAAGGTTCTGTCGATTTTGAGTTCACGATGGAACAGCGATCCACTTTGTCGTCGATTCTATTGATATCTTCGACTTTCGCACGATCAGTCAAATATTATACATGTACAGTTTTCCGTGACTCCACACACGCGTTAACGTGAACGAAATGAAAACGGGAACGGCACGCGGTTATACCCCCGTTCTCGTCCAACGTCCCACGTCGACTGTCACACAACAGTCACGTCCTCCTAACACGAATCTCAACAACTTTACTCGGCGAGACGTTACGTATCACCGACACTCGACGAAATTACAGTAATTACACTCCGAACGGATAATAAATCTCCAAGTGGAAACCAGTGGCTACCCTTCCTCTTCTCCAAAAAAAAAAGTAAACCTGAACGGAGAGATGAACTTGAACTCTCTCTCCTCCGTTCGCGCTTCTTATCTCGCTGCAGGTGTCGGCGCGCGTCGCGTATATACAGCACATATATATATATACATATGCGTAACGTATGAGCTCTCTCTTGAACGCAAGTGCGAGAAGGCGATAGACGACGTGTACACGTCCGCTCGCTACCAAGTCGGACTGCCAACTGCGCGCACCGCGCGAAACTCTGACGGCGACTGCCGTGCCGCCGTCTCGGCCCCAATGTCGTCTGGTTACGCGATGCAGAGAAGACTGTGACTGGTCGGGGTTGTCTCTCTCTCTCCCTCTCGTGCGCGCGCGCGCGCGCGCACGTGTATCTGTGTCGCTTCAGACACGATAGTGGGCTCGTTCACGCGAACGCGTATCGGCTTGAGGGAGGAAAGGAGAGGGGAGGGGGGAGGCTGAAAGAGAGGCCAGTTTACGCCTGGTTTATACTCACAGTTTATGCGACAAGCTCCCTCGTATCCCTTACCCACGCTCACCACCACCACTACTAACACACATACAAGTACGATTCTGCGTCAGATTGTCTCTCTCTCCCCACCAGATACGTCACGCCGCCCCCACCGCTCGGTACACTTCCCCCTCCACATCGCCGGCTGCCGCCGGATTGTATCTCTCGTTCTGAACTGGCGCGATTAGATTACGTCGCGCGCGCGGCTGCGACACACAACTGTCAAATGTAAGTGATACTTGACAAAGTTAAAATCTCGCCGCCAGCTATTCCGCGCGAATGGCGCGAAATTCCCTGGTTTATATTTCGAGATCCACACTTCCATTTCTCGATGAAAATGTTGAGATGTCAAAAGCGATGAAAAGAATTAATTACGGTTTTTTAATTCGAGTTAACGACATTTAATGGAAGTGGTGAGCGAATCTCCATCAATTACATTTTCGAGCATTTTTCAAAGAATTAATTCCGATGTAATTGATTCGCTTATTGCTTAAAACTTTTCCGAGTATTGGGAGAATTATTATTATTATGAATTGAGATATATTTTTTTGCAATAAATTATAGTCTATTTTTCAAAATGGTATTCTAATTTGAAAACATGATACACATTATGAATATTTGAAGAAAGTAAATAATAATCTTGTATGTTTATTTATGATTAGTTTACGAAAAAATATATACCTCTCCCCAAGTCTCCAATTTGGGTAATATTATCATTAAAACTGTTGTGTACGTTCTATTTTTACGTACCTATATAATAATATAATCGCAATCCACTCTCTAACGACAATCGGAGAACGCTATTGATCCTTTCGTATCTCTTCAGATTCCACAAATTTTAATCGCTGCTTTTGTCATGATGGGAGCAATAAAAATTTATTATAAAATCGATTTGATAAGATTTTACACGGCAATAGACGTCGCAAAAATTGGATGTTTATTCTTTCTCATTTCGATATGATATCGCCCGTTATTATCATATCTTGAAACTAGACTGGGATTCTATAGAGATACAATGATTTTCCTGTATACATATACAAAGTATACTTTTCGCCTGTCGAGTTTGTTTTTGACGACGCGTGGGCGAATCTCGCGAGAAAGAGAGAGACGATGCCGGTGACCTCTCGGCGCGCGTTTCGCGGCCATGCTGAAAAATTGATTTACTCGCCGATCGCTGATCGCTGATAAAACGAGCCCGTAACGAGATACGTCAAAGAGAAATAGGGACAGGGAGTGCGAAAGAGAGAGAGAGAGAGAGAGAGAGAGAAATGCTATGTACTCGGAATCACGTCGGCCGCGATCCAGCCAAAACAAAGAGCGGGCCGCTCGATTCGGCCGGCCGGCTGGCAAGGTCCCTCTTCCCCCTCCCCCATCGCCGCATCGTCCTCCACAAACCGAATGCCAGACAACGAGGGCATCAGCCCCCGTGAATCACCGCCGGTCACCTTCACTTTTTATGCAACTTTCCGAACCCGATCTTGTCCTCCTCGCGCGTCGCGTCGCGTCGCACCTCGTTATGAATATCCACATGCAATCGACGTCGCTCTTTTTATCTCGATGCATTATCGATACGTGTAGTACAACGAAAATAGAGATGTCGTCGTCGCGTTATCGAAACTGCTTTCGCTAATCGTGCGTCAACGCGAACGGTTATTGCGCGGTATTATTGTAGCCGTAAAATTTATCGAAACTGCGACCCATTTGACAAGTCTTTTCTTTTTTCATTCTTTTATCTATAAAATGCAATTCTTTATTATTATATTATAATATGTATTTTAGTTTTTATTCACACGTTATATGTAGTTTTACACTCTATTTGCCCTCTATTTTTACACTTTGTTTTCGGATGTAAAGTTTGACAGCGCTTGATTTACATAAAGTCGCGCGCGCATAACGATATCACGTGTTCACCGATGCTACGGTGGGCGAATTCGATATTTCAAGGACACGCGCGCGTGCACGGATGTGCACTGCGTCGCTATCTCGGCACGCTGCAGTTTCGTGCACGTATGCGCGCACGCGTGTATTGTTTGCGCAAATATCCACGATGAAGAATCGTAAGCTATTGGGCGATGGAAAATAACAGGTCGGTAATAAAAAGGAAGAGGACCCCTTCTCCGATTGAAAAACACGAGAGAATTATAATAAAGAAAATAACATAATAATTTGTAAAAAAGATAAATACATTAATAATTATATTATAAAATATTTAAAAATAATTATTATAAATTATTAAAATCTAATTATGATTTTAATAATTTATAATAAATATTTTTGGGAAATATTGAAGCGAAATAAATAAATCGGTGTTGATATTAATAAAAAATGACATCGCGTTTACGTCATTTTTAATATGTCGCGATTTATTATCGATACGATTATTTCGTGCGATCATATTCGCGATATATGTTTCTTTCATAAAGATCATATTTAATAATGTTGTTTTATGGCGTAATATTCTCGATATATATCTATCTATACGCATATTCGTATACATCTATATAGGAGACTCAAAGTTGGGCTCTATGCGCAACAACTTTGGACTATATGCGCAATAAGTATTTCTAAACACAAGGGTGGAGGAATCGTCGCCTTTATTCCGACGCATTTAACTTTTTGCGATGCGTTACATTCTGCCACTCGCGACCGACACGTGTACGTACCCGCGGAATGCGTCATTGAAAAGTACGGGAAGAGCTGTCATTACCATTTTAATTATAAACGTGTTCCAAATTCAAAATCAAAACTACTTGGATTAATATTAAATTACAATCGCGATTGTAGTTTTCACGGAAAAAAAAAGACTATCTCAAGAATATCGATTTTTTTTTCGCGCGAGCAACAGCTTGACGGAGAACTGAAAGGATAAAAATAAAGTCCGACCTTGATCCTTGATCGTGATGCATTTCGCAAACGCGTTGCGAAGGCGAAACATTGTATGCATTTTACGTCTTTTGCACGGTTCGCAGAAAGTGTCCCTTCGAGTCTCTCTCTCTCTCTCTTTCAAAAACGATACGCACACACTTTTGTAAATTCCGAGGAACCGTTGCCGCATGCGCGAGAAAGCATTTTATTCTCGTAAGCGTAACATCATCGGCCACTGCGTATTAATTGCATTTCTTGAAATCCGGGGGATTTTATCTACTACCTTCGTTATTCGAGAGTCCATGATTCAGCCGTGAATCGACAGTCAGCTGATAAGATATGCACCACGACCGGACACAATGGATGCACACCGGTGATGATCACGTTCGCGAATGTCGCTGGCGATATTGCGTCATTCGAGAACGAGCTTCCTAGATCGCCAGTTATTCAGCAGTTTCAGAAATAATGCAACAAGATTACGACGAAAGAACAGACGCACGATCAACCTTCTGTCAAATTGTTTTGTCGATCTTTAAAATATTTATTTTCGATAATATTTGGTCGCTAGCTAAATTATTTCATTTTTTCGATAATCGACGGGACACGTCGATCTTTAAAGAGGAAATCTCATACTGATGGAGATCTTGGCGCGAGATCTGTCAAAACGTGACTCGGGAGTTTCGCACGCGCCGTTCTCGCGTTTCACCTGTCAGTAAACACGTGTTCTAGGATGCATCTGACACGAGATCGCGTCGCGGAACAAACGCGATGAAATACCATTAAATCTCGCACAAGTGATTCTTATAAATCCCGTTTATCTCTCTCCCTCTCGGAAAAAAAAAGTGATGCTTGTAACAGTTTAATTTTTGAAATTAATTATTTTATTATTATTTTATTAATTAATATATTTATTTTTTGAATTAAATAATTTCTAAAACAACTTTAAAAGAGTTTCGAGGATCGACGTTTATGTTAATGTTTCTCTGGACATACACAATGTTTTTGAAATGTTATCCTAAGTTCTACGTATGCTTCATTATATGTTGTTCTCTCTTTAAACCTTTTTTACGTAAATTAAATTTACGCAATTAATGTCGCAATTTTGTAAAATTATTATCCTAGACAATCGAAACTATTTGTCGAGATACTCACCAATTTTGAAAGGTTCTGTCGATTTTGAGTTCACGATGGAACAGCGATCCACTTTGTCGTCGATTCTATTGATATCTTCGACTTTCGCACGATCAGTCAAATATTATACATGTACAGTTTTCCGTGACTCCACACACGCGTTAACGTGAACGAAATGAAAACGGGAACGGCACGCGGTTATACCCCCGTTCTCGTCCAACGTCCCACGTCGACTGTCACACAACAGTCACGTCCTCCTAACACGAATCTCAACAACTTTACTCGGCGAGACGTTACGTATCACCGACACTCGACGAAATTACAGTAATTACACTCCGAACGGATAATAAATCTCCAAGTGGAAACCAGTGGCTACCCTTCCTCTTCTCCAAAAAAAAAAGTAAACCTGAACGGAGAGATGAACTTGAACTCTCTCTCCTCCGTTCGCGCTTCTTATCTCGCTGCAGGTGTCGGCGCGCGTCGCGTATATACAGCACATATATATATATACATATGCGTAACGTATGAGCTCTCTCTTGAACGCAAGTGCGAGAAGGCGATAGACGACGTGTACACGTCCGCTCGCTACCAAGTCGGACTGCCAACTGCGCGCACCGCGCGAAACTCTGACGGCGACTGCCGTGCCGCCGTCTCGGCCCCAATGTCGTCTGGTTACGCGATGCAGAGAAGACTGTGACTGGTCGGGGTTGTCTCTCTCTCTCCCTCTCGTGCGCGCGCGCGCGCGCGCACGTGTATCTGTGTCGCTTCAGACACGATAG